GAAGAAGCTGCTAAAATTGTACTATGTTTTTGAAAGATTAATTAGAGAGTATTGAACATAGAATGAAAATGGTTGTTAACATTCATGTAGGTGATACATCTATATCTATCCAGGTAACGCCATAGAAAAGACTGCCAATTTTCATGTAAAAGAAAGTGGGGCTTCCTCCCGGCCAATATCATCATGGAACCTTGTGATCTCTATAGTTTGGTCTAGAAAATGAAGCAATTATCACATATATGACTAAAAGATTGAGAAAAACTGTTGTGGATTCCGGGGATGGAATCCGACTCAAATAAATAACAACGCCAGTAATAGAAATAGGAAAATATATGTATTAACGTAAGGATACAAAGTGAAATGAAGATCAGTAGTCCAGGAATGCGGGTTAGTAGAAAAGTATATTTACAAGTCTCTGTAATGGAAGCCGTAATTATCTCTCTTTCTGGATTCTCGTAACTCTGTGTGAACACCCGGTGTCGATCTCTCTGTTGTCACGCTATCTCTCGTAGTATAAATATACTCTGGATGACTCCATTCTGTATACAAGGGGCGACCCCCGCAATAAAACTATAAAACATATGCTGCTTACAATATTTGTGTTACAACAAACATCAATAATAAAAAAATATACCATTATTTTAATGTTTATTTTGAGTCTAATTATATCCATTTGTCTGGTTGATGTATTCCGCCGTGTGTTCATTCTGAGACTCCTTTTCCTTACTTCTGGGGTTTCAGATTGCCTAGAGGAATAAATTCTCGCTACCGACACTTGAGTTTGAACATAGATCACCAGTGAGCAAACACAGGCGATCCCATTATTGAATTAAGTAGACCACGTGACCATAGAGCAAACGCTTATATGGGCGGCAGCGTGTATCTAATTGATCACATTCTATTCTATCCCCTGTTACTATTCGGATCTGCATTTCTAGTCTATCCTCTATTTATATACGGACCGCTATTCTCTACTCTATTCACTATACTATTTCTCTATTCGGATTTCTCTTCGATGGTTACCATTCGAGCAAGTAATATCGAGCAAGTACTATTAATGCGAGTGATATTCGAAGGCGTCTGACACCAGTATTGTTCAACGGCGTTATTATAGTTGTATCTGCGATTACAAAGTCTCTACTACAACGAATATTACAAAAGTGGCAAGTGTTCGTTGATATAATAAAACTTCAGCAGTCCGTTGTTTCTTGCTTCCATGTTACCTACGCTCTTAAAAAAATGAAATGCAACGTCAATTTCTTTCTTCTATTTTGCTTAACCCTGTTCTCTTATTTCCTCCTTACTAAAGTCTTCTCATTTTCTTCCACTCTCAGTAAACGTTTGCGTCTTAGAGGCTTTAACGCCTTGCTTGGTGCGAAATGATTAAAAAAAGGAAGATAAATTTTGATTTATTAAAACTACAGACACGGTGGAGTAATGGCGTCTCGGATTGAGAAATCTGAGAGCCGAGTTCGAATTCCAGTCAAATCCATTGCATTCACTTACGTGCTAATACCATTGGGAAAGGTATGAATCCGCTTCTCCTCCCCCAGCTATGGGTAAAATAGCAACCCAGGTTCTATAGCCCTGGATGGCAACTGGTCTACCGCAGAAAGAAATAGCAACCTACTGCGGGAAAAAAAATCTCGTCAGTCATGTATCGAAAGATACATGATCGCCTAAGCGTGTATCATGACTGATTGAATCTTAATCTTAGTTAGAGAGGTGCTCTTCGCTCTTGTTCAGATGTCCTTCGTAATTGGCAAACTTCTGACAATTTCAAATCGAACACTTTATTCAATCTACAGGGACTGTTTTCCATTCCATTGTTCATTCTAAAATATCTTATCACTTAATTCTTTGTAGTTATTAATATCGTTTGTATATTGACACGTGATTAGAATGGTTCGAATCTCGCTATGGTCAATTTGTCTGGAAGGTGACTTCTTGAATAATCACGGCACCCCCGGAAAGAGCCAGAAAACCATACCACGGGTTGATCCAAGCCTTGTGGGTGAAATTGGGGTGACGGAACTATGTGGGAGCCGTTAATGGTTGAGCTAGCACGAAATCGTAAGTCATCGTGACCGAGGGATTGAGTGTTGATGACGTCAGATAATGCGATCTCTTCCGGAAACCGTAACTAAGGTCTGCTCAGCTTAATTGCAAACAAACATACTCGTATACGAGCGGCCAGCCATTTCTAATATCGTTTGTCTGCTTCTTTCACTGAATATGAGGCTTGAATTCATATGCAACTCTCCACTATATAAATAGCAGTTTATACAGCTGGAGGCTAAACTAATCCTAATCTTTTGACTAGGATTTGTATTCTTTGAATATTAGCCCAAGTTCCAGGGGTCTTTCCTCCAAGCAGTATATCTTCCCTGGGAGGGGACTGGGTTTATTGCCAGGTGCTTGAGGCATCCCCAAAAGTGGGATATGCTGGAGTGGATTAGGAATTATTGCGCGATATGCTGGTTAAACCCACTTTAAACAT